GGGGAGGGGGTCTACCGGGGGGGGAACTGGCACAAGGAAGTCCGGCGGAGGGGGGAGGGAAGGAGTGCGGTAGGGGAAGAGGCGGTAGAAGGGGACTGACTCGTCGAACGTGACGTCCTGGGAGGACAGAACACGACGAGAGGAGGGGTGGTAAAACTGCCACCCGGGAGCGTCTATGGGGAAGCCAAGGAAGACACAGGGAGCAGCACGAGGGGACAGCTTGTCCGAAGACAAGTCGCGGACAAACGTCCGAGATCCCCAGACACGGAACGCCGACGCATCGCCAACCTTCCCCGTCCACAGCAAAGCTGGGGAGGTCTCGGGTCGGGAGACTCTGGGCTGAAGGTTGATCTGATGCGCGGCGTACCGAACCGCAAACGGCCACAGAAAATGGGGGGCAGCCGCATGCACCATGGACGTACGGGCGACGTCCATGACAATGCCGATGCGGCACTCAGCAATCCCATTCTGCTGTGGAGAGTCCGGAAGCGTGAAGGTCTGGCGGATGCCTCGTGCCCGACAGTAGGCTCGCAGAAGGCCGGAGGAGAACTCTCCGCCTCTGTCCGAATGCAGACGCAGAACAGGAAAGTCCGAGCCGAAGCTCCGCCTGAGCTGGAGACGAGCTGCGCGGATCCAGTCGATCAACACCTCAGTGACCTCACCCTTGCTGCGCAAGGGAAAGACTGTGGTGTAACGCGAGTAGTCGTCAACCACCAGCAGGAAGTAGCGCTCGTGACCCTGTCCACGGACGCGGGCTGGGCCCCACACGTCCATGTGAAGCGTCTGCATCGGGGCCTCCGTCGGAGGGAACGGGGAGGAGTGAGGGGTAGCCCGCAGGCGACCCTCGACACAGGGGACACAGGGAGGGCCAGGCCCCGGAGGAAGGGGAGGGAGGGACCGGGGAAGGCCAGAGACAAGAAGGCGAGAGGCCATGCCCCGGAGACGAGGCAGGGAGGGGTGACCCATCCTGTGGTGCCACAGGAGGGTCTCGTGGGACAGGAGGCGACACGAGCAGGGGGCAGACTCAGGACCAGACCTGGACGCTGCAGCAAACACCTGACCCGACGCAGCTACCTGACCAGACGCAGGAGAAGGAGACGGAACAGTGAGTGTGTACAGGCTCGACCCTGGACCACGTGTGAATGTGGTCAGGTGTCGACCCGTGTCCGCGTCCGTGTAGTGGGTGACTCGTCGGCGCGCAGGGGTGAACTGGTCAACCCCTGCATCCTGTAGGTCAGCACCCGCCACCAAGTTCGTAGAGAACGAGGGGAGGTAGAGACCGGACAGGGCGCCAGACGGGACCGCAGGGCACGGCAGGACAGTGGAGTAGCGAGCCAGAACAGGACCCCCAGAGGGGTCTGCCAAGGAGACCGCCACTGGCGGACTAAGCGGCGTGAGTGTGGTGCGGTCTCGAAAGAAGGAGCGAGACGCCCCAGAGTCAAGAGTGAAAGTGAGAGAGGGTGAAGTCGACACTGTACCTGAGAGAGCAGACTCACCAGCACCTGAGGACTCAGACTCACTGGCACCTAGAGCAACAGCCTCACCAGCACCTGGAGCAGCAGCCTCAACAGCACCTAGAGCCACAGTACCAATGCCCGGGTTGGGCGGGAAACACCGGTAACAGTCACCCTCCTCACTAATAGTCACAGCATACATAGCAGCAAGAATAGCATCAAAGTCAAGATCAAAGATAGCTACTCCAGCCCTAGACAGCTGGTCCCAGCGAGGGATCTCAGAGGCGTCAGGAAACTGGCGGCGCCAAGCGTTAGTCAGGCGGCCGAAGTAACGCTGGGCGGAGTGTGGACCACCACACTGCTCACCCGCACGGTCGCCAGTGCGCAGGACGTAAGTGCACGGACCAGTACCCCCACCCCGCTGACGCGCAGAGTACCACTCACGGAGCTGCTGCGGGGAGAGGGTCTCCTGACCACGCTGCTGCTGCTGGCGCTGACCACCACCGGAGCCACTCCTCCTCGGCGCGCCACGACCTCCGCCGCCTCCTCCGCCGCCGCCGCCACCACCTCCACCGCCACCCCCACTCCCACCGTCGCCGCCCCCACCGCCGCCTCCGCCTCCACCCCCACTACCACCGCCGCTGCCGCCCCCGCCTCCACTGCCTCCGCCGACACCTCCACTCCCGCCACTACTCTCGCTACCACCCTCACCTCCGCCGCTGCCTCTACCTCCGCCTCCACCGCCCCCGCCGCCTCCACCACCGCCCCTGCCCCCCTTGCTCTTGCCAGAGCGACGTCTTACGCTGGGGGCAGACGCCGCTCCGACCGACTCAAAACCAACAAGGTCGGCCGTAGCAGCAGAGGCGACAGAGGGCAGGAGGGGGGAGGGGGAACACCCCTCAAAGATGGGGGTGCGCGGGTCACCACGAGAGGCCCCTACAGCGAGAATGCTCTTCTCGGCTGCGAGGAGGGACTTCTCGAGGATCTCGAAAGTGAGAGTGGTGGGGCAGACTGCGAGTAGGTCGTCCCTGACTCCGCGAAGGGAGTCAGGGAGGCGGGTGACAATGTAGTAGAGAGTGAAGTACTGGGGTGGGGGGTTCTTGGCGCAGAACTCAGCAGGAAGTGCAGCGCGGAAACGAGCGTCACTAGTGCGCAGGTGGGTAATGAGGTCGGCGACTGTGGCAAAAGCAGCAAGGTCGGGAAAGAGGTACGGTAGCATGAGGCGGCTCAGTGCAGCAGTGGCAGGGGTGGAGTAGCGTGCGATAACGGCGTCGTACAAGGTCTTAGCACTCTTGTACGACCCAAAGTGCGCACGCTCAGCGGGAGGGAGGTGGCGACGCACAGCAAGACGTGCAGCAGCATCGCGTGTGGCCCACTGTGAGCGAACAGTGGCATCCTCAGTAGCAGCAGGGGCGGGAGAGGCACCAGAAGTGAGATCAAAGAGAGAGAGTCCGTCAGCTCTGTCGCACTGTAGGAAAAGCAGTAGGTCGTCTACCCACACGTCAAAGTCAATGGCTCTGCCCTCAGCGTCAAAGGCGAGGACACTGGGGGTAGCCATGACAGCAGTAGAGAGAGGGTAGTGCGCAGAGTAAAGCTCAGTGCTCACCAGACAGGGCAGTGCAGGGAGGGCTCGGGCGGCTCGGGCGGCTCGGGCGGCTCGACTGCTGGGCGGCTCGGGCGGCTCGGCGGCTCGGGCGGCTCGACTGCTGGGCGGCTCGGGCGGCTCGGGCGACTCGGCGGCTCGGGCGGCTCGGGCGGCACTGCAGCTGGGGCGGCTCGGCTGCTGGGGCGGCTCGGCTGCTGGGGCGGCTCGGCTGCTGGGGCGGCTCGGCGGCTGGGGCGGCTCGGCTGCTGGGGCGGCTCTGCTGCTGGGGCGGCTCGGCCGGGAGATGCAGGGGCGGGGCCGTCAGGTGCAGCGGCGGGCCGGCAGGTGCAGCGGCGGGTCGACCGGTGCAGCGGCGGGCCGGCAGGTGCAGCGGCGGGGCCGTAGGGTGCAGCGGCGGGCCGGTAGGTGCAGCGGCGGGGCCGTCAGGTGAAGCGGCGGGCCGCTGGGTGCAGCGGCGGGCCGTAGGGTGCAGCGGCGGGCCGGCAGGTGCAGCGGCTGGGCCGTCAGGTGAAGCGGCGGGCCGCTGGGTGCAGCGGCGGGCCGTAGGGTGCAGCGGCGGGCCGGCAGGCGCAGCGGCGGGGCCGTCAGGTGAGGCAGCGGGCCGTAGGGTGCAGCGGCGGGCCGTAGGGTGCAGCGGCGGGCCGGCAGGTGCAGCTGCGGGGCCGTCAGGTGCAGCGGCGGGCCGGCAGGGCCGCGTCAGAGCCGGCGGCGGGGCCGCGTCAGTGGAGGCGGCGGGGCCGCGTCAAGCAGGCGGCGGGGCCGCGACGTAGCGGGCGGCAGGGCCGCGTCAGAGCCGGCGGCGGGGCCGCGTCAGTGGAGGCGGCGGGGCCGCGTCAAGCAGGCGGCGGGGCCGCGATCAGGAGGGGCAGCGGGGCCGCGAGGGAAATGGCGACCCGAGGGGTCGCTAAAAAAATGCGCGCCTCGGGGCGCGCTTCGGTGGGCCCTAAAAAAAAACGGTCCTTAGGAAGGACCCGCTCTATACCATGTGAAACAAGTGAACAGAGATGAGATGAACTATGAATGAAGGCAGTACAAATATGAAACCCTAACTGGGTTGTACCCCCTATGGGATACCCCACTACAGCCTACACAATAGTATAAGCTATAGATATGTTCTGACAATCGATACTCCGGCCATGGTTTTGCGGGCCTTTCAAGATCATCAAGATGGTGACACCTGTCACCGCGAAGCTGCTGCTACCCGACGATTGGCGTATGCATGACGCCTTCCATGTCAGCCTCCTTCGGAAGTTCGTGCCTGCCACGACAGACATCGCGTGCCGGAACGCCGCCCCGACAGCCCGACCTGTCCCAGAACCGACACTTTACCCATCCAAGATTTTGGCGCATCGTGTTCGGCTCGACGCTTCTGGACGCCACGTGGATTTTTTAATCCGCTCGAATGACCGCACCAGTGAGGATGACACTTGGGTGCCATCCGCCTCGCTTGAAGCTTCTCCGCTTCTTGGTGATTACCTCGCCCGCAAGCGAGCTGCGGATATTGACCACCTTTCTTAAAGGGGGGGGTAGTGTAAGGAAAAACCCTTTTCCTTACAGGGGTTTACTCAACCGCGTACAACCCCAACTTTCGGAAGTGCACGTTCGGCCACTTTGCTTGCTGCCGAAGCAACCTCGCGTCGCGTTCGGCCTTTCCTTTGCCCAACCTGCACCCAACCTCGTGTTCCCGAGGTTCCCGCCTAGCTAGGTTGACCCACTATATTAGCGCGTGCCTTCATTGTATTGTCAGTTCATTGAGTCACATCTTCGTTATTCGTTATTCCGCGCACTCTCTTTTACAACTCATATCACCGGTTCTCAGTCCCACGCAATATACATGTAGGTGAAGACACAAACACTCAAGAAAAGGTGAGCACAACAAACGGCAAACAAAAACAACACACAAATGTTGCAACTGATTTATTCAACTCCCACATGAACCTCTAAGCACGTTGCAGGAGGTCGTTGGGTCCATTGGGCTGGTCAATAGCCGCGAGCTTCATCGTCGCATTCACCAGCCTTCCTTTCACACCCGTCGCCGCATACTGCATAAGCGCCACCAACGCATTGTACCCATCACTCGCCGCAAGCGCCTCCGGGGTCAACCCCGCAAAGCTCCAGCTTTGCGTGCCGTGGAGAACAATAACAGACGTGCAGTTCAGATCACACGGACTGCTGTTGCTGTACAGAAACGCGCGCGTGGATGTGACATTGGGCGTCGGCGGCGGCGGCGGCGGCGGGGGAGGAGGAAGCGTGTCGCCATCGTCGTCGCAACACTCATCATCATCTCCACCCTTCTTCCCCTTCCCCTTGCCCTTGTTACACTTGGGCTTATCCTTCCCCTTAACCTTGCTCTTGTCTTTGTTGCTCCCTTTCTCCTTCTTAGCCGCGCACCCCCCGGCAGGGGGCAAGTGGGTTGGTGGCAGGGTATCAAGCAGGTTGACGTTGAGGAAGACGGTGATGGGCTCCTCTGAGGGCACAACCACGGCAAGAGCGAAGCTCGCCTGGAAGGACAGCCCATCGGCACTGCAGTGGGGGAGACACGGAACGGAAGGAACACAGAAGCCAGAAGTGGCAGTGAGAAGGTGGTGGTGGTGGAGGGGTGGTGGCAAGGCATGGAGCAGGTTGACGTTGAGGAAGACGGTGACAGGCTCCTCTGAGGGCACGACGGTGACAGGCTCCTCTGAGAGCGAAGCTCGCCTGGAAGGACAGCCCGTCAGCGCTGCAGTGAAAAGGAATGGAACGGGACAGACACAGAAGTCAGGACTGGCAATGCGGAGGTGGCAGGGCATCGAGGAGGTTGACTAGACAGAGAGGAAGACGGTGATGGGCTCCTCTGAGGGCACGACCACGGCAAGAGCGAAGCTCGCCTGGAAGGACAGCTCATCGGCACTGCAGTGGGGGAGACACGGAACGGAAGGAACACAGAAGGCAGAAGTGGCAATGAGGAGGTGGTGGTGGTGGAGGGTTGGTGGCAAGGCGTGGAGCAGGTTGACAGAGAGGTAGACAGTGATGGGCTCCTCTGAGGGCACGACCACAGCAAGAGCGAAGCTCGCCTGGAAGGACAGCTTGTCAGCGCTGCAGTGAAAAGGAATGGAACGGGACAGACACAGAAGTCAGAACTGGCAATGATGAGGAGGTGGCAGGGCGTGGAGGAGGTTGACGGAGAGGTAGCCGGTGATGGGCTCTTGGGTGGGTACGACCATGGCAAGAGCGAAGCTCGCCTGGAAGGACAGCTTGTCAGCACTGCAGAGGGGTGTAAGACACGGAACAGGCACAGAGGAACACAGTGAGATGTTTGGTGAGAAGGCGAACAGCGGAATGCAACGGCGTAGAAGAAGGAGAGGGGAGGGAGAGAGGAAGGCGGGAAGTCACAGTGAGTTGTTAAGACAGAAGTAGACCATTAGGTGGGTGGGAGTGGGCCAAAAGGCATGGCTCAAGCGAGGCACGACACTGCTGTAGTTGTGCCCAAAAGTGGGATCAGGAGATGGGATGGGAGTGGCTTACGGCTGCGAGAGGGAGATGTTGGCACCGCCTGGCATGTAGGAGAGGAAGCGGACCACGTATTGGGGGCTCGGCACGTTTTTTAGTCGACTCAAAAACAGACTGTGACTCACGACTGTGAGAGGGAGATGTTGGCACCGCCTGGCATGTAGGAGAGGAAGCGAACCACGTATTGCGGGCTCGGCACGTATGCTGGAATGGGACCCACTTCCACTACGGACAAAAGCAGAGGGAAGTGGGGAGAAGGTGACAGGGGGGGTTTCGAAGGGCAGGCAGAGGAGTGCAAGGTTAGCAGTCCGTCAATGCTAACCTCTGCCTGCATTAGCAGTCCGTCAAGGAATATAAGGATAGAAGGAGAAAAGGATTGCCAGACGCAAGCTTGAGGTGCAAGCACAACAGAAAAGCGCCAAAGAAACACACGCAGGTGAGCAAGAGAGATGTCACAAAGACAGGCCAGGCAATCAGACTGATGATTTATACTACTACTCGCAAGCTCGACCTCTTTTCCAAGAATCACACTGCCCACTCCATGCTCCACACCCCCACTTACGAAACTTCCGTGTGGCGTCCGCGCGAAGCTGCGCCATCACGGGGCGCATGGCGCCCTGCGCGTCCTTGTACGCCATGACCACCCCGGGGAACACCAGCGAGTTGTCTATCAGCTGCAGCAGCGCGCCGTAGCGCTCGGGGTCGCTCACAGGGCTGCTGGTGAAGGTGCCGATTGCCTGCCACACGGACGGCACGGGCTGCACCCACGTGGGGTTGCCCGGGGGCAGGCTGCACCTGAGCGGGTCGCATCCGGGGACGGTTGTGCCTGCCAGCGTGATGTAGACGGGCGGGGCGACGGGGAGAGCTGCGAAGATCTTGTAGGTCGCTTGGATGGTGGCGGTGGCGGAATCGAAGCTGGATGTGTGGTGGGGAGAGGAAGGGGTGGTGGAAATGGGAGAAGACGGGGGGGGAGCGGGATAAGTAGAGGAGGGAGAGCACAAAGGAAGGGGAGAGCGGCGAAGATCTTGTACGTCGCTTGGATGGTGGTGGTGGTGGCATCGAAGCTGGACGTGTGGTGGGGGGAAAGAAGGGGGGGGGAGAGAGAGAGAGTGGAGAAGAGGCAGAATTGGGGATGGGGATGAAGGAAGGTGGAAGCAGCAAAGATCTTGTAGGTGGCTTGGATCGAGTCTTGAGTCGACTCAAAACTCGACTCATTTACACGCATCTTGTAGGTGGCTTGGATGGTGGTGGTGGTGGTGGTGGCATCGAAGCTGAATGTGGGCGGGGGAGGAAAATGGGGGAAGATGGGGGGAGGGGAGAGGGTGGTAAGAAGAAGGGGGACGATGATAAAGGAAGGGGAGATCTGGCAAGATCTTGTAGGCCGCTTGGATGGTTGTGGTGGTGGCATCGAAGCTGGTGTGGGGGGGGGGAGAGGGGGGTAACGAGAGGGGGAATTGGGTACGGGTATGAAGGAAAGGAGGAGCGGCGAAGATCTTGTAGGTGGCTTGGATGGTGGTGGTGGTGGCATCGAAGGTGGTGAGGAGGGGAGAGGGGGGTAACGAGAGGGGGAATTGGGTACGGGTATGAAGGCAGGGAGAACGGCGAAGATCTTGTAGGCCCCTTAGATGGTTGTGGTGGTGGCATCGAAGCTGGTGTGACGGGGGGGGGAGAGAGGGGGGAAATGGGGGAGAAGGGGAGGGATGGAGGGGAGGGGAGTCAAGAAAGTCGTGCAGGCCACGTGCATAGGGGAAGTGCTGGGTTGGAAGCTGGTGTGGATAGGGGGAAGGGGGCATGGAGGAAAACTGGGGAAGATGGGAGAGAACGGGGAACAGGTATGAAGGAAGGGGGTTTTGGGGAGGACATATTTTGACTTACCAGGAAGACGGTTGAAGCAAATCGAGCTGTAAGTGCGGCGTTGAAAGAAGGCATGTAAAGCGCGGCAAGGAGGCGAGTTACTCACTTGAGACAGAGGTAAACGACGGCTTTTTAAGCTCCTCAAAAGTCATCTTACGGGCGGCGTTGGCGAGAAGAGGAGGCACTCACTTGACGTGGAGGTAGACGACGGCTCGCGACTCGCCGTCTACGAGGTGCGCGTAGAGATACGCATCTGCGCGTCCGTGAGGGCACGAGGGGGACGATGGGGGAGAGAGAGTGAGGGAGAGTGACGATAGGGACTCGCCGTCTACGAGGTGCGCGTAGAGATACGCATCTGCGAGTCCACCACTCAGAGGACTCGGATGGGGGCACGATGAACACAATGGGAGCGATGATGGGGACAGATTTTAGCAGACGAAAGCTTTTATTTTCCAAAAGGTGCGAGAGAGGCGAGGCGGGGGAGCGAGCAATGGAGAGAGAGCGAGGGTGAGAAGGAGGCGAGGAGAGGAAAAATGCACCGAAACGAGGAGAACAGGAGCAAAATCTCTGGTCAGAACTGGCTTTCAAAATCGGAATCAGTAGACATACCACTGTCTTTCACCCAGAGTCAGTCCTATACGCATGGCATGCGCGAGGAGCGGGAATCAATCCCTCAGAAGACGACGAACGGCGGACGTACCGGCGGCAGAGGCGGCAACGGGCGACGTCAGGGGACTGGCCGCGATGATGACAGCTGCGACGCGCGTCGGAAGAATCGGGGGTGGAGGGGGCGCATGGAGAGAGGGGTGAGAGGAGGCAGAGAGGGAGACAGGGGAGAGGTTGAGAGGCAGTGATAGGGGTGAGAGATTATCCCGAGATAGTGTGGGGTGCTGCTGCTATTACGTGGCCTCCACGTAGCCTCCACGTCGGCTCCACGTGGGCTCCACGTGGGCACCCGCGGCGTGCGAGAATCTACTGGCGTGAGACTACCCATTAAAATTTCGCTGTAAAAAGAAATACCCGCTGAGAGCACGCACCACCGATCACGAGGAGCAGCGGGAGCGAGCTTCGGTACGAGGTTGGCCGCAGCCGCCGCCGCCGGAAGCACAGATTCGAGGGCGTCGCCATGATGACGGTGGGGACGCCGGGGAGCACTTAGTGTAATAACGCGGACGATACGACTCGTACGATGTCGTTTATTGTTGTGTTGCACGATGGCTGTTGTGCACAAACTTATGAGCGTCGTGAATGTAGTAATATTTACTGACCCAGCTTATCGTCCCAATCTGAAGTATTAGCGAGGACGGTCTCTGTCACCGGACACATTTGTGGCAATTGTAGTGTCTGGACCTAATAGTGGTACTAAGGCAGACGCAGGGAGGTTTGGACGAAATATCGCCTAGAAAGTCAAGAATCATCCGATGTGAACCCAAATTTCGTTATTCAGGCGCGACGACAAAGGTCCTTACCCAGCCCAGATACCAGCTGACAATGTATTCGCCTGACTTGTCACGTCAGGTCAGGACTCGGGAGTGTGAGTCGAGCTGACCCTTCTGCTGGCATCGCCTGACAGAGTCCCTGGGGAGCGATCGTGCGTACATACGCTCGGAAAGAAAGAATCCGGGGACAAACGGGAAATGGAGGTGGGGGGGGAAGAGGAGGCGGGAGGATGTTGGGGGAAGATGGCGGGAGGGAGGGGCAAGAAGGGGACAACGTAAGGGGGAGGGGAAAGGAGCGAAAGGGGGGAAATACAACGGAGCGGCAGTCTACGCAGTCAATCGGGCAAGAAAGGGAGCAAGCGGCAAGGGGGTGTGGTTGGCGGAGAATGTGGACCAAGTCGGCGGAAACGTAACCGCAAAATGCGGTAGGACAAGAAGAGGTTTCGGGGGAATTTTGGATTCTTGCGGTGCGAACTCGCGACTCGGTTTCGAAATGCTTGACGCTTGACTTGCGTTGCTGTGCTGGCTGCAGCGCAGCATCACTGTCAGCTCTGGATTGTGCTGAGTGGACTCCTTGGCACGTGTGCCATCAGCACAGCAACGATCTGCAGCGAACAGACGATTAAGCTCGTGACTGAGCCGATACTCTGTGTAACAGAAGAGAGATACTAGGCATACCTAAACCCAAAAGGATATGCTTTCACATCCTACAATATCTACAACCACTTGCACTGCTTTAGTCACCAGAACCAATACTATATCAACAAATGAAAATTAAACAGAACTAGCATCCTCGTCGTCAAATCGTGCCTTAATGTTTTGGAGAACCGATGCAACCTTCGTGGCGTTCGCTCGTACGGTATCATAACACCCGCCATGGCTAAACACGAGATGGTAGACGAGCGACGACGCATACGCTAGATGATTGTAACAGACCACAGGGCATCCATCTGGTCTGATTTCCAGAACGGAGGCCTTTTCTGGCATGAAGATGAGGTTGGTGAGTGCTGCTCCATGGCCTGCTACGAAGAGACGCGTGCGCTGAAACAACTCTCGAGCTGCAGCGGGGGAGAGGCAGGAAGGGGTGGGAGGGGAAGGGGACGTGACAGGGAGGAGGGAGACGAGGTTGGCGAGTGCTGCCCCGTGGCCTGCTATGAAGAGACGCATGTGCCGAAACAAACTCTCGAGCTGCATAGATGGGCGTGGTTGGGGATGTATGAAGAGAAGATGGAAGATCAGAGGAGGAGGAGACAAGAGGACAAGTGAATATGCACACCATCCAGCGCAGACAGCAAGCAATGACCTTCTTTTAAGAAGCCTCAATCATAGCCTCCAAAAGAACGATATGCTCACCACTCGCAGCACAGCAGCAGCGCACCTTCCAGCGCAGGCAGCAAGCCGGCGACCGTCTTTTGAGGCACCCCAAACATTGGCTCAAAAGAATGTTACGCGCAGTGCTCAAAACACAGCAGCAGTGCACCTTCCAGCGCAGGCAGAGGGGCAGTGACCTTCACAGCACCTTCATAATCGCCCCAAAAGCTCGGTCTGCCCAATGTCCACATCACACACACAACATCGCACCTTCCAGCACAGACAGCGAGCCGGTGAACTTCACAATCCTCTCATTCGGAAACGCCCTCTCCACCACCTCCTCCACCTCCACAAAGTTACTAATGGATCGCCTCTTTGCGGGTCGCTTGGCCAGCACCACCACCCAGTCGGGTGGCAGCTCCTGCGCCTGCTGGGGCGACAGCGGCGGTGGTGGCTGGTAGGACCAGTCGGGGCGGAAGAGAGGCAGACCGCGTGGGTGCAGCAGGTGGGTGCGCCTGAGGGACTGCCAGAGAGCCTTGGAGGGGTTGCCACAGGTTTGGGCGATTGGCTGAAGCCAGGGGGAAGAGGGGGTGGTGAGGGGCGGGAGGGAGGAGGAAGAGGAAGGCAGGAAAGGCCTTGAGTACATTGAGAGGCAGGCAGCCTGCATGGGGGTGCAGTGCAGCAGGTGGCTCCACCTCAAGAAGTGCCAAAGCGGTTTAAAAGGGTTACTATAGGTCGGGTGAATGGGGCCGACAGAGCGGGAAGGCGGAGGGGGAGAGGGAGTAGAGGCATGAGAAACAGCTTGAGCGGTGTGGCAGGGAGAAAGCAGGGGGGCTTCTGCAGGTGCAGCACGTGGTTTGGTTTGGTGTGGAGGACTGCCAAAGCGGTTCAGAGGCATAGTCATGCGAATGGGCAATTGGATGAAGACAGGGAGAGAAGTTAGTGGATCACGGTCACACACAGCAGAGCAGGTGGGGAGTGTCACGAGGTAGAGACCCCTGAGAATCCTCTAGAGGGTTGTGTCACAAGGCAGACACCCTTCACTTTGACTGCGACCTGATTTTGCAGGGTGTTCTTGAGAATCAGAAAAGAGAAAGAGAGTAGCAGGTGGGATGTGTCCCAACGTAAACACCCTTGGCTGCGATTTTCGTAGAATTATAACAAAAATGATCTTACAGGGTGTTTTTGAGAATTATATGTATATATATATGAATGTATATATATGTTTATACATAGTAGCAGTTGGGATGTGCCCCAGCGTATACACCCTCGACTGCGAGCTGATCTGCCAATCACCGCTCGTAGGTGCAGATAAGCAGCAGGGGGTGTGGACGACAGTGCGGAGCGGCAGAAGAAAGCAAGCATGAGCAAGCAAGCACGCATGGGCTACCAGCGCGGATATACCTCGTAGAGGGTTTCGACGAAGAAGAGATCTTGGGCTACGAGAGGCAGCACGCGCATGTCCTCGTATTTGATGCCTATGAGGGCCTCTCCGAACTGCTTGTACACCTCCCACTGCAAGGCACAGAGATAAGAAAGGAAAGGGGTAAAGAGATCGTCAGCAATAGGGAGGCGGCCCTTACATGCCTTACTGCTTGAATTCAACAAGTTTTGTATACCAAAGCTCTTACATGCTTTCAATGTCTATACCAAAGCTCTTACATGCTTTCAATGTCAAGAGGTGGAAGCCAAAGCCTCGACTCCTGCAGGTCAAATAATCTCCTCTTTGCAAGGACTCATTTGTCTGAGTGACCTACGCCGCAAAATAGACGTTTGGTTGGTGGTGGTGGTGGCAAGGACTGGTCACTTCAAATATTGAACCCACCTGAATCCGGCTGGCGAGGATGGGCGTGGAGAGCATGATGCGCGGCAGCCAGCATCGTAGCACACACGTATACAGGCGTGTGCAGGCGTGTGCACGCGTGTGCAGGCGTGTGCAGGCGTGTGCAGGCGTGTGCAGGCGTGTACAGGTTTTCAACTGTCAGCTCATTGAACCCACCTGCATGCGGCTGGCGAGGATGGGGGTGGAGGGCATGATGCGCGGTAGCAGCGGCGCAGCAACGAGGAGCAGCGGCATGGTTTCGGCGACAAAGTGGTAGAAGTTGAATCCGTACGAGTTGCTCCACGTGAAGGCCGCTGGTAGTACATGCACCTGCTGCTGTGGTGTAAAGGATATCTGCGGTGGGGGTGGGAAAGGGGAGGGAGGAGTGAGAAGAGGCGGCGAGGAGCAAAGGCACGGTTTCTGCAAGGAAGTTGCATAGAAGTTGCTCCACGTGAACGTGTTGCAAGTCCAATGGAGCCCCAGACAGCACAGCAGCCATCTCTGAAAATCCAACGTTTATGTGCTGATTCAACTGTAAAAAATGTTGTAGAAGCTGCTTCACGTGAACGAGTTGGAAACCCGTGATTCAAATTCTGGACCTCGGTTCGAATGAGTTGTAGAGGCTCCCCTCACCTCACCTCACCTCATTCAAATTCCCCTGCCCCTCGTCTCAATGCAAGCTCCTGCCCCTCACCTCGTTGAACCTGCCACAGCCGGGCCGCACGAATCGGTGCGTGCGGTTGAACACGTAGCCCTTGTCCGTCACATACGCGCCCTTCACCTCAAACATCTGCAGCGCCATGGCGTCCCGCGGGTTGAAATCCTCCCTGTGCGAGCACGTCTCGTCGTACCCATCCGATATATGCTTCCGCGTGTGCGGATCCAACCCCGCCGTGGCGTTTCTTTTTGGGCAGTTCACGGGCGGGTCAAGGAAAACTCGGTCCGGGTCGACCAGGTCCGGGTTCCAGCAGGCCCGGAGGTTCGGGAAGGCCGGACCGCAGGAGGTTAGGGTGGGACACGTGTCGCCGTGGCAGTGGGCGAGGGTTCCCCAATGCGTGTCGTGCTCGTGGTACTGTAGCAGCACGATTGGCCGGTTGGAGGAGTTGTAGGCGAATCCGAGGGGTTCGATGAAGAGATTGGTTCTCTCTGGATGGTTCCTGCAGGGGGGGGGGGGGGAGAGGGAAGTGGAGGGATGGGAAAGAGATTGAGGAAGTGCGAGGGGAGAGGACTTTTGCGCCGCCTCACACGAGCCGAGGGGTTCTCTCTGGATGGTTCCTGCAGGGGGGAGAGAGAGGAGAAGGGGAGTGATCAGGGAGTCACTATTGAGAATCCTTAAAAAGCTTGAATTTCTCTGGATAGTTTTATGAAAAAGAGAGCGATCAAGGAACGTGATTGGGGAACGAGATGCAGTGATATGAAGCACGCTCACCTGATATGAAGCACGCTCACCTGATATGAAGCACGCTCACCTGATACGAAGCACGCTCACCTGATATGAAGCACGCTCACCTGATACGAAGCACGCTCACCTGACGGGGAGAGGGACGTAGTACTGCAGCTGGGTTTCAAATGCCTTCACGTGTCCCACCATCTGCAGTTGCCTCCGATTATCGCCGGTGCTGTCGCTGTCGCTCGCATCATCATCACGCGAAGGATGATCCGTCGCATGATGGGTGCTACCGTGCCAAGTGTCGTCGATGGTATGACTACGGCCATGGAGGACGTCGGCCTGGAGAAGGCACGCGGGAGGGGTTGCATCGGACACGATTCGGAAAGGTTGGAAACAGACAGTCGGTGCTCTGGCGACAAGCGCGATCGGATGCGACGTGCTTAAAATCCACGCGACGCTGCGCGATGTGATGGTGATGGGGAGGGATAACCACACCTACTGAATCATCAAGCAGTTTCGTGGAAGCAGCACGTCTCGCGCATGTCCCAGCCACGAGGAAAACGAGGTGGAGAAAGAGCTGCGTATTCAAGCAGAGCAGACAACAGCGTACGCGGCCAGGTAATAACGCGAGACGCTTCCTGCTCGCCATTTGATTAAGGATAAGCATCTGGGTGGACTAGAATAAGGATAACTCCCTGAATTCCCACGTTGAGAGCTCATCGCTTCCGTTTCTTACATATCTCTACGTATGAAAAGCGACAACGATGGGAGAAATCAGGACCAGAGTAGTTGACGATGAGGAGGGCCCTGGACGGAAAACCAGACGACATTCGTTGCCGAACGGATGGGATGGGGGGACGGTTCGGGACGGGACGAGACTGGGATGGGTGTGAACGGCAATGGCGAAAAAAGATGTCAGGGTAAGCTGTACTAATGAGGTGTCACCTCATCTAATCTGCCTGCGAACCAATCCCAAGGGCTGCTGACTCGCCCAATCAGCCTGATCGGCCTGCCGTCATTGGCCTGATCGGCCTGCCGTCATTGGCCTGATCGGCCTGATCGGCCTGATCTGCCTGATTGGCCCGAATCGCAGAGCGAAACTGCCGAAACCGCCAGGTGGGGGAGATCGCAGGTGATTCCTGTACTCCATAAGAGAAGTCTCAAAAAAAATATTGTATCCCTGCCACTCTAATGAACTACTACACTAGGCAAGTCTATTTCAGTTGTTCATGGTCATGTTACATAATAATTAGACAACATTCTAGGGCATTAACCTTTGGCATGATTGCAGTGTGCTCGTCCTAGCTAGCCCTATTCCAGCATTTTTGCACCAAATTGCTTTCAATGGGCAACTAAAAACGTTCTTCCAACAATAAAGCATGAACAATGTGACCTCATAGTGCAGGCTAGTAGTTTTTGGGAGGGTATGTAACAGCACATGTCCAGATAAGGTCCACGTCAGACTCGACAGTGACGGTTGGCGCAACAACAAGGTTTGATGTGCTGACAAGGCCGCCAAACCGCATTGGTGTGTTCGCTGGTGGGAAGGGGAGAAAACATGGGAGGGGGAAGAGGGAGATGAGGGCGGAAGCAACGACGGGTGAGAGAGAGGGAGGAGGAAAGAGAGGGTAAGGGAGAAAGTAGACTAGGTGTGAGATCGTACGCGAGACCATTTACAAAAACCACTACAGCTGCAACAACAGGTGCTCAACTCGAACCACTACGCACCCCTTCACACCACTCACATTATTTCCAAATCAGTCTGGTTGTCGTGGTCCCATGGAACAGCTCCCCCAGTGGAGTGAGATCAACCCGCAGTGCAACCCCTCCTGCTGCTACAGCTGCGACAACAGGTGCACAACTCAAACCACTACACACCCCTTCACACCACTCACATAGATTCCATCTCAGCCCAGTCGTCGTTGTTCCATGCGAAGGCTCGCCCACAGGGATCAACCCGCAGTGCGGCCCCTCCCACCGCGGGTGAGGCGTGATGACGTGGCGCCAGCCAGCTGGCAGCAGGAACAGCTGGCAGTCCTCTGACAGCAGCACGATGCTGACGTGGCGGAACCGGTGGAGCACGTTCACGTTCCCGAACTCGTGGTCCATGCGGCCGCCCAGCGACCCCACCACTATCACCCTCTGGTCCGGCCGAACCACCTTTGCTGGGAGGAGGGCTTGGGGCTGTGGTTGGTCCGGCCGAGGCAAAGCAGGAGGTTCAGGTTTGGGTTCAGGTTGGGAGAGGATTCTATTGTGTGGTTGTTGGGCAAGTCCCGAAAAGTGTGTTTCAGGTGCGGAATCAAGCGAAAGAGACGAAGATTCTGGGTATAGAGCAGCATTGTCTGTAGATCCCGTGTTGTTGGAGTTGGCAGTGGTGGAAGGGGTTTGGGTAGCAGCAGTGGATTCGGAGAGGGGAGGGGGAGAAGGTGTGGGAGGAGGGATGGCAGAGGGAGAGACGGAGCTGGAGTGGCCGGTGTCGAGCAGAATCCTGTTGATGCACTTGTGCAGGTCCGTGGTGTCCTGGTCCTTGCTCATATCCACTATCTCCGCGCCCTGTTAAGATGCAGGGCACGGGAGGGATGGGCAGAAAGAGGAAGAGCAGGGATGGAGGGAAGAGGAGGAGGAGGAGCAGGAAGAGGAATATAAGTGCATGCACTTGTGCAGGTCCGTGGTGTCCCGGTCCTTGCTCATATCCACTATCTCCGCACCCTGTTGGGACAAGAGAGGCACGGGAGGGATGGGGAGGAGGAGGAGAAGGAAAGGGGTGGGGGGAGGAGAAGAGGGAGGAGGGATCTAAGGGAATGCACTTGTGCGGGTCTGTGATGACCTGATCCTTGGGAATGAAATTCATCAGAAGGATGACAAAAGGGGCCGAACGAGGAAGAGGAGGAGGCGGTGGTGGAAGGGCAGGAAGACGGATATGAGATTGTGCAAATGTGAAGGTGCGTTTTGAGACGATTCGAAACAAGTGGTGGGGGAATGGCAGGAAGACGGATATGAGATTGTGCAAATGTGAAGGTGCGTTTTGAGACAACTCAAAACAAGTGGTGGGTGAAGGGCAAGAAGACGGATATGAGATTGTGCAAATGTGAAGGTGTGTATTGAGACGATTCAAAAGAACTTTCAAAACCCAGTTTGTTTTGAGACGACTCGAAACAAGTGGTGGGGGAAGGGCAGGAAGGGGGATAAGTACTTGTGCACTTGTGTGGGTGTGTGAGACCTTGCTCAATCCCACTTTCTCCCCCCTCCCCTCCCCTGGGAGACAAGGAGCAAAGAGGATGCTTTTTTTCGCTGGAGTCATCTACTAATGCAAAGGGCACCCTGTGGATGGACGATGCATGTCACAGGGTGCTCTTTGCATTGTCAGGGAAACAGCAGCATCGGCGAGAGAAGACGGGGAAACAAAAGGTTGCAGAGCAGAGGCGAATGGTTAGCAAAGAAAGAAGATACACGCACGAGTCGAGATTAGAGCATAGCGTAGCACCACAAAGGCAGGTGAGTCAAGTCAAACAAGCACAAATGCATGCAAGAAAGCCGTCAGAAAAGGTTAACCACCAGACACAGCCACTCCTGCTTGCTCCAACGCATCCAAGCTTACAGCAGGAGAAGCAAGAAAATGCGGCATGGCACTCCGAGATTGCACTGTGGCAGGCAAGCACTCACCAGCTGCTAGTGGAAGGCAAGCACTCACCAGCTGCTTGTGGAAGGCAAGCACTCACCAGCTGCTTGTGGAAGGCAAGCACTCACCAGCTGCTTGTGGAAGGCAAGCACTCACCAGCTGCTTGTGGAAGGCAAGCATTTCTGAGGATTCTAAAAGATGACTCAAACTGTCAGACATGTTCATGATGCTGCAGGGTGTTTTTGAGAAGCCTCAAAAACACCCTGCAGCGAGAATGGGCCACAGCACCTTCGAGAATGTGCTGCAGGACTCACGAGCTGCTTGTAGAAGGCGAGCACTCACGAGCTGCTTGTAGAAGGCGAGCACTCACGAGCTGCTTGTAGAAGGCGAGCACTCACGAGCTGCTTGTAGAAGGCGAGCACTTGGGGGCGCGCCGAGTCCAAATCGCCCTTGATTATGTGCGGCACGAACCTGAGGGTGGATGGCGGTGGGGGGCGAACCAGTGGGGGCGGGGAGGGAGGAGAGGGGTAGGTAGGAACAAACTTCTGTCGACTCTACTGTCTCAGTGGGCGAGCACTTGGGGGCGCGGTGCGCCAAGTCCAGATCGACCGCCCTTGATGATGTGCGGCACGAACCTGGGGGTGGACGGCGGTGGGGGGCAAATGGTGGGAGGGGGAACAAACTTACGAGGCGACTCTAGAACTTGCGTCTGTGGGCGAGCACTTGGGGGCGCGCAGAGTCCAGATCGCCCTTGATTATGCGCGGCACAAACCTGGGAGGGTTTGGGCAAGTGGGAAATGTGAGAAAATGGGGAGGCGGGGCAGGAGGAGGAGGAGGAGGAGGAGGAGGAGGAGGAGGAGGAGGAGGAGGAGGAGGAGGAGGAGGAGGAGGAGGAGGAGGAGGAGGAGGAGGAGGAGGAGGAGGAGGATATGTGCGGTGAAGTGAAGATGGAAGAAACAGATGGGGAGGGGGGAGAGAAGGACAGAAGGAGAGAAGGAGAGAAGGCATCAGGAGGGGGACACGGCAAGGACAGCATTGTCAGGGCAAGGGCGGAAGGAGTGGAGTATAGGGAGGGGGGGATGGGGTGGGTGGCATGGGGAGGGAGCATGGGGTGGTGTGGATGGGGAGGGGAGGGGCATGCGGTGGGAGGGATGGGAAGGGGGGGAAAGACTTTTGAGGCGCCTCAATAGGAAGGGGGGAAAGACTTTTGAGGCGCCTCAAAAGGAAGGGGGGAAAGACTTTTGAGGCGCCTCAAAAGGAAGGGGGGAAAGACTTTTGAGGCGCCTCAAAAGGAAAGGGGGAAAGACTTTTGAGGCGCCTCAAAAGGAAGGGGGGAAACACTTTTGAGGCGCCTCAAAAGGAAGGGGGGAAAGACTTTTGCGGCGCCTCAAAAGGAAGGGGGGAAAGACTTTTGAGGCGCCTCAAAAGGAAGGGGGGAAAGCACGGGGTGGGGAGGCTGCGGGGATGACCTGGAGCAAGCATGAAAGAGGAGGGGAGGAGGGGGAAGAAGGGGGGGGGATGGTGCGCACCTTCGTCTGACGTCATCAGGGTCCTCCCCCGGGAACATTCCTGGAAGCTCGTCGTACAGGCGGTTCACTCCGCCATCCGCGCACAGCCGCAGCGACCCCGCTGGTAGGGGGAGAGTGAAGCGGGGAGGAGGTAGATACGGGGAGGTCATGGGGAGAAACGAGGAGAAACGGGGGAGAAAGAGGAGTCGGAAGAGCAAGGGGAGATGGGGAAGGAGAGAGGGGCGTGGGCTGTCTGCCACGTGATAAAACTGTTGTTTTGAGACGTCTCAAAACAACACTTTTTATCACGTGGCGTGGGCTGTCTGCTCCGAGTTACGACCAGAAGCTGCGCTGATCGCGTGTGCTGCGAACAGCTCAGCTCGTCGCACAGCTCCCCGGCATTGGCGATGCGTCAACGAAAGCCCGCTTCTATTAGGTAACCCTGTTCGCCTAGAAAGGCGATATTTCGCTCCCGGGGAGAGCAGCGACGCGGCGCACCTTGCTGCCAGAGAATCGGCGTGAAAGCCGGGAGCTTGAAGTTCAAGATGACTAGAGACGTATTTGGTTGGGCTTTAATCTCCTCGCGCTTCCCGTCGACGATCGCTAGATCCGATTCATGGAGGACATAGTCGCTGACGTGGACAGCTTCTGGGAGCGAGCTCGAAAACTCGCCTAGAGCAGCCGCCGCCGCGGCACATCCGCTAGTGTCACGTCGCATGGCGGAGGGGCTTCGCGGGGAAGGCGCGCGGGGAAGCCGCCAGAGCGGGGTAGCGGAGTGTGCGACTGTGGCGGAAAGGCGTGGCTTTGGCGCTGCATACGCGGAATGCGCAGAGAACGGGACCCCGCGCGGTTGTGCGGAAGCGGTGATCTTGCGCGATGAATCACGCACGCTGGTGGTCCCGAGGCTGATCCTCGCGATTGTCGTAGTGCTGGTTACCACTTTCGTTCGGCAGTTGGTGGCTGTCTTGGAGGATGAGATAGCGATGCGGCGAAACCCGTCAGAGAGTGTGCGAAAAGTGGCGAGGTTGGAGCGGCGAGAGCAGAGGAATAGGCGAAGCATAGTGTAGGGGAAGGGACCCACCTAAAGCGTGTGGCCGGACTGTTGATGCCAGTGGCGATTGGAACAAAGTGGCGGCCAAGTGACGCCCCTTCGGGCCAAGTGATGCCCGTTCGGCTAAGTGGCGTTCAGGTAAGTGTACACCTGAGGGTGAAAAAGGAACTACTTATCTTTTATTACCTTCCGGCTCACTGACGCCTGACTTCCTGGCTGCCAAACCAATCCAGCCAGAAACAAAAATCACAGAAGCTGATATCATAGGTGGGTATAATTCATCCTTCAGGTGGATTTAATATTATTTAACACTTATTCTGTGCGCTCACATTTTGAAATCACAATCTTGCTATGATTTTGTCCGTGCGTTCTGGTACATCTCATACCAAGCTGGAAAGCTACTTTCGAGTCTACAATATCAGGGATGCTGCTCTGAAAGGCTGCAAATGTAGGGTGTCGTACAGTACTATTGGACGACACCTGAATCACGACTCCATCAGATGGGCACTGCCTGAGCCCACCTGGGCGGACACATGAAAAGCTTGCTGAAGGGGTGCCTGCGTTGCATTCGAAAGATCTGGCGAAATTCTCGACAACACGACGCGAGACGACACATTGACACACGAGGCTGTGCGACCGCGATGCTGGCTTGACTGTTCACGTGCCGCGCAAATCGTACTGGTCATAAATTGTGAATCCAGCTGGGACATCGTGTTGATGTCTGCTTCTTCCACGGTCATTCGGTGGGGGTATAAATTTGCTGTTAACAAAAAGATGTATTTTTTGAAGCGTGCTGGTTTTGTTTTTCCCACAGACAGGAGAACTCTACCTAGTGGAATGACACCCTGCACGTAAGCACTAACAGCACTTTTCCAGTTCAGAATTCAATGGTGTGGTTTGTTTGTTCTCCCTTTTTAACAGCATCAGCAGTGTGGTAGATTTCAGTGGATATTCCACGCGGTTGGAGCACAATCGTGCCGAATTACAGCTGTGAATCAATCAGTCCAACAGTTGACCACTGAACTTCGCTGGCACTGTACTGAATTTATTGAGCCGATGCTGAGCCACACAGACCTCATCCCCCACGTTGCAACCTGGCTTGAACAGTTTGTTGAAGTGGTTACCAGCGCACATGGCCGATAACAATCGGTTAGTGTGTCACGAGTGCGACGGTTGCTTGCGACACTTCTTACCTCCAAGGCAGCTCGTTGAGGCCTTGAGCGAAGTTGAAGCGCCGCAAACGAAATGTGGTGACGCTGCATACTCTTGAGCACGCTGATGTCGCAGCTACACATCTTCGCCTAACATGCTCCCATCAACCCTTTTGTAGTTCCCATGAGTTCAACAACTGTTTCTACCTTTTTAGTTTGTAGGATACCTCACATTTCAAACATATCAGGACATGGCTAAAAATGTTAATCTCCAAACGTAAGAGATTCTGTGTTGCTGTTTTTAACCTGTCTGGGAGACGGAAAATAATTGTTGCTTCTGCAGTAAAAGAATCACGGGCAGAGATCATTTAGACTTGCTGGTGGGTGCACGTTTCTGGTTTGGGTCGCACAGATCGTTCTTGTATTTCCTCGATGCTTCGCTGTCATCATGACGTCCTGCTGCTTGATGGTTGATTTCGCCTCGCCACGGTGGGCGCCCTGGCTGCTTCAGGAGGAATCAGGCAGCTGTCCACGGTCGAATCGCATTTCCGTTTTCGTGCCCGTCAACGATTATCAAAAGAAAGGTTTCAAGCGTTGAACTGCATCTCCCCTGATGTGCCCTTAGCGAAATGGTCCTACCCGAAACGAGACGAGGCTGCCCACGTCCCTTTTTTGCGCGGCGACGTCTCCTGATTCGTTCAGTTTCCCGATGACCCAATCAGATGCTGCACTGCTGCAAGCAACTCTTCGCTGCCCTGCTCTACGGTTTTTCTTGCCCTTCCAGCCTCACCTGACCTGATGCGTCTGGCCCTGCTTCCTGCCTCTGACTTTGATCTGATTCCTGCGCCCCATACCGTGCCGTGTTATCATCAACGTGGAGACCCATCACTGGCAGAGCTTTTAGCAGCGTTGCAATACAGCCCAAAAGTGCTTTTGGACTTCACACTTCCGGATAGAGTCAGTTTCGCATTCCATTATTTTCCCATAGGTGCCTTGCCCCCTTTGAACAGCAAGCACATTCAGGAGTAAACTTCAGACGCTATTTCGTATTCCAGCCTTTTACAAAAGCACTTTTCACGTTCCAGTTACAGCTAGCTTGCTAACCCAGCTTTTTGTCACAGGATCTAGGCCTTTACTCAAGTAGCGCCCTTTCTAATAATACTCGAGTCGTCCAAACACAATTAGTGATCTAGTCGCAGACGTAGGCGTCCCGAATTACGATGACGAGAACCCCGTGCTGCGAAAAGGCGGAGGTTCGAAAGGGGCCGTGGACGCGAGAAGAGGACGAGTTGCTCGTGAAAGCTATCAAGGAGCATGGCGAGGGGAACTGGAGCGCAATCCCCAAGAAAGCTGGTGAGCCGGCTGCGCTTGGGGTTCCTTTTGGCTTCCGATTTCACCCACATTCTCGTTCAATTCGCACGTTGAGATCGCGGCATGCGGCGTTTCCGCATTACGATACGCGCTCCCAAAACCATATCTCACAATCGTTCCGATTTCTGATCCGTGCGCTTGCGCTATCGCAGGGTTGATCCGTTGCGGGAAGAGTTGTCGCCTCCGATGGGCCAACTACCTCCGTCCCGACTTGAAACGCGGCGCGTTTTCGGCGGAGGAGGAGGCGCTGATCGTGCGGCTGCACAAGGAGATGGGCAATCGATGGGCCAAGATCGCCCTAGAGCTGCCCGGACGTACGGACAATGACATCAAGAACCACTGGAACACGAGAATAAAGAAGAAGCTGCGCGAGTCGGGGATCGACCCCGAGACGCACCTCCCGCTAGCCACGCGCTTGGCAGATGGTAAGCCGCGACCCGAGGCCTGTTTCTCTTTGCTAAATGATTGATCGGGATCAGAAACATGCTTTATTTATTTTAAAACCATCACACTTCCCTTTTAGTCGGTGCTGCGTTATTAATGCCGTCTTATCTCTTAATGCCGTCTTGCGTCACCAGGGATGGCTCTTCATGCAATCAAACGTCCACTGCCCGCAACAACTATGCCTATGGCATCGGCCTATCCGCTCCCGCCTTCGAAGAAACAGTGCCTCGAGCCTTCCGCAACCGCAGCAGTTCCCGCTTGCGCCATTTCCCCGCCGCACGCGCAAGCGCAAGCGCCGCTTTGCCCGCCAACTGCTTTCGCGGCCGAGATCGTCAGTACCGCTGATGAGGTGAAAGCGGATCTTGCTCTTCTTCAAGTTGAGAGCGCGTCTGCGCAAGCTCAGCGCGGAATGGGCTTCCGCAGCAGCAGCTGCAGCAGCAGTGACGAGGACGAGGAGGGTGATAGCGACGGTCCGAGCCTAGTCGAGCACGATGGCGAAACCGAAGCTGGCTCGCCGACAAGCGTAATCGTTTCGCAAATCGGCGCTCGTACTCGGGTAACGGCAACGGAAGTAGACGCGGATTTGGGTTTGTCCGTGCGTGCGGGAGGAATCAAGGTTGAAAAGAGTGGGGCAGATGACAAAAACGATTCGCTAGTTTCGGCATCGACGGTTCACATGACGGTTTCGCAGAACGCTCAAGTCTCGAACTCGCTTTCGCCAGCAGGAGCTGTCGCGAAGTCCCGTTCGTTCAAGGTTCCGCCTCCGACGCTTATCATTCCGTGTTCCGCTTCCGCGGACGAGGGAGAGGCTCGGGCGGAAGTTCCGTTCGCACCAGCGGTACCGGCGATTGGCGGAGCTGTTTTGGCGAGCCCCTTCATGCTCCGTAACTGGTAAGCGCCTTGTATAGCAAAGAAAATAATGCTAATTAATGCCTAGAAGCTATCCACACATTGGAAGCAAGCGTAAAGTGGTACACCCGAAACATAACAATATATTCAGTACAAGTGTGTATACCCAGCTCGAGTCATATACGCCCGTACACCTCAGTTGCGAGGCTTTTATGACTTGAACCATTTTGCACGACTAACAATTTCCTTGCTGTTTACCCCTCTCCCCCAATTCTCCTCTCAATGCAGTTTATGGGACAGCTCCGATCTGAACTGCCCTTGGGCAGATGACCTGGATATGGACACGTCAGCAGCCCTTCCGGTACTGCCCAGTCCGAAGTTCATCCCGCTCACTCCGTCCAGCACCGCCTTTGGAAGCTTCAGCTTCGGTACAAGCACACCCGGAAACAACACCAACTCGAGCAACTACAGTTACGGCTACAGTAGCAACAGCGGCAACAGCAGCAGCTATAACGCGAACCACCACAGCAGCAGCTCAGCAGCAGCCCATTTCAGTTTCCCCACTCACCCCACCCCACCTGCCTCAACCGCTGCAGCCGATCTCACCGCGTTCGACCATCTCCCTCAACCACTCAGCGACAGCCACCTGACGCTCCACTCCGTCATGGACGGCTCAGATTCGCAGCGGCTAGGAGGCGCGATGAGCAGATGCGAGGGTCTAGGATCCGCGGGAGTGGGCAGCGGCGCAGCAGCAGCAGGGGAACTGGTTCCCATGGCGCTGGTTTCCCCACCTCTCCCAGGCACCGTCCCCCTTTCCTCAGGCGCTCTAGATGGGCTCACACTAGAAATGGA